ATCGAATCCATTGTATAGCTTTTCATGCAAAGGATATCAAAATTACTAACTATAAACTAGAATTAACTATTTTCCCGGTTTTAAAACGTTCATGATTTCTATAGAAAAACGATATTTCCTTGATGATGCAATTTCTTTTTCATAAAAATAATATACAAGAAATATAAATTATTAAAAAAAAAGTGGAATTTTGCAGATTCTCAAGAAATTTTTTGAAACTTTTTATCATTTCACAAGAAAAACGAAGAACTATAAAAATTGGAATCTGTTTTTCTTCAAAATTAAAGTTTTAAAAGATAAATTTATAAAAAAACGAATCAAGTTCTGCAATCACACTTAATTGGTTAAAAGACGGCCATTTTTTTTCATCAGATATTCTTCTAACTTAAATAAAAGTAAAATAGAATACCAATAAGAAACGGATGAATGAATGAATGAGTGTAGTCTAACCTCAGGCTACTTGAATACAACAAATGCATTGTGATGATGATGAAGACTTTCTACTCATACTCTAAGGGAGTTTGAGAGAGAAAAAGAGCTCGGTGTAGTATTGGAGTGGGTATGTAAATGATATAAGTTGTATGTGTATAAATATTTAAGAGAGATGAGTGGTGACTCAAAAAAAGAAAAAGTTTTTATAAATTTGAAAAGTATTATATGGGTTTTATTTGATTTGGTTTCGTTTTGTACGTTACAAAACGATAAACTTTTCTTTATTTTTTTTTGGTTTTATAAATTCAGATGCTGACTGTGGTTTCAATTTCTTGACTGTGTTTAAACAACAATAACAAAATCCATATAAATGGAATGGCAAAGAATAAACGCCTTCGTGTATGTACATTTCAGAATATATGTATGTTGTTAAAGATATGGGGTTTTTGTATGTAAACCTAGATAACAACAAATACTCCTTAGGGGTCTTCGTTTCGTCGTAATGTGACATTGATTTGAGAGCAAAAAAGCAACATTTAAAAAAGCAGAAAAAAAGACGGCGCATAACTTGTACTATGTGATATAAAAAAAATAGAAAAATCCCAAATACACCCAGTCAACAATGTCTGGCTGAGGTTTACTTGTTCCCCAGACATGGAAATTGAAAATTCAAATAGTTCCGAGTTTTAGCAAAAGAAGAATGTACTTTTATTGGTTTCAAAGTACTTTTTATGTGATCTCTTCAATATACTTATTTCCATAGTCAATATACTATTCCATAGACAAGTCAATTGACTAGTTCATAGACTAGGCCATAATATAGTCCATAGTATGAATAGGCAAAAATATGATGGCCTAGTCTATGGATTAGTCTAAAGGCCATTGATTGGTCCATAGACTAATCTACGGACTAGTCTATGGACGAGTTTATAGACTAGTCTCTGGACTAGTATATGGACTAGAATATGGACTATTCCATAAACTAGTCAGTAGACTAGTCTATTGAATAGTCTGTGGACTAGTCTATTGACTAGTCCGTGGACTAGGCTATTGACTAGTCTGTAAACAAGTATACGACTAGTCTATTGACTGGTCTAAAACTAGTCTATTGACTAGTCTAAGACTAGTCTATTGAATAGTCTATAGTCTAGTCTATGCACTAGTTTATGGACTAGTCTGTGAACTAGTCTATTACTCAACTAGTCTGTGAACTTTTTTTATGGACTAGTCTATTCACTAGTCTACGGACTAGCCTATGGACTAGTCTTTGACTAGTCTATTGACTTGTCTATTGACTAGTATATGGATTATTTTATAGACTAGTCTACTGACTAGTTTATAAACGATTCTATGAACTATAGGTTAGTCTATGGACTAGTTCATTGAGTAGTCTACGGACTAGTCTATTGAGTAGGTCTATTGACTAGTCTATGAACTAGTTTATCGACTAGTCTATGGACTAGTTTATGGACTAGTCAGTGGTCCAGTTTATGGACTAGTCTATTGACTAGTCTACGAACTAGTCTATTGACTAGTCTACGAACTGGTCTATTGACTAGTCTACGAACTAGTATATTAACTAGTCTACGGACTATTCTATTCAGTAGTCTACGGACTATTCTATTGTCTAGTATATGCACTATTTTATGGACTTATCTATGGACTATAGACTAGTCTATTGACTGGTCTATTGACTAGTCTATGGACTTGTCTATTGATTAGTCTATGTACTACTCAATAGACTAGTGTATTGCCTAGCCTATTGACTAGTATATGAACTAGTCTATTGAATACTATATTGATTAATATAGGGACTATTGTATGGACTAATATATGGACTATAGACTAGTCTATTGACTTTTCTATGGACTTGTCTATTGATTAGTCTATGGACTACTCTATAGACTAGTGTATTGCCTAGTCTTTTGACAAGTCTATGAACTAGTCTATTGACTAGTCTATATACTAGTGGTCTAGTTTGTCGATTAGTCTGTGGACTATTTTATGGACTAGTCAATGGACTAGTCCATTGACTTGCCTATTGACTAGTATATGGACTATTTTATGGACTAGTCTATGGACTCCATTGAATATTCTATTGATTAGTCTATTGACTAGTCTATGGACTAATTTATGACCTATAGACTAGTCCATTGACTGGTCTATTGACTAGTCTATAGATTTGTCTATTAATAAGTCTATAGACTGGTCTACGGACTAGTCTATGGATTAATCTATGACCTATAGACTAGTCCATTGACTGGTCTATTGACTACTCTATGGATTTGTCTATTGATTAGTCTATGGACTAGTCTATAGACTGGTTTATGGACTACTACATAGACTAGTGAATTGCAAAGTCTATTGACTAGTATATGAACTAGTCGGTAAACTAGTTTTTGGTTAAATCTATGGACTAGTGTATGAACTAGTCTATGGATTATAAACTAGTCTACGGACTAATATATTGACTAGTCTATGGATTGGTTTATGAACTAGTATAGTCTATTGACTATTCTCTGGACTAGTCTATAGACTAGTCAATATATTAGTCCGATATTCTGTTGACTAGTTTGTGGACAAGTCTATTGGTTGTGGTGTGGACTAGTCTATGAACTAGTTTATTGACTAGTTCATAGTGTATCGACTGGTCTATGAACTTGTAGATACTAGTCTCTATTGAATTCTCTTTGGACTAGTTTATGGACCCGTCTAAGGGCTAATCTATGGAGTTGCATATGGATTAGCTTATGAATTACTCTATTGACTAGTCTATAGACTGGTCTATGCACTAGTCTATTGTCTAGTTTTTGGATGGGGCTATGTATAAGTCTATTAACTGGTTTAGGGTGTAAAGTAATGACTGGTCTATGGTTTAGCAAATGTTTTTGATATTAAAAAAGGTACTAAAAAACTACTACAATATATAAAACTTTCCATTCCTGTTTTACACAAAAATGTAAAAAGGAATACCAAGAAAAAAGTTATAAAAATATTTCTGAGGTTTTGGGACTGAGACGTTGGTTTAAGCGGGATGATGGCTAAAGTGGGGTTTTTAATATATTCTTATGGTTTTTATGTTTTTTTACGTTTGTGTTTTGCTTTTGAGGTTGGGGAAATTGAAACAGACGAATGTGTCTTTTTTTTTTTTTGTATATTTTTTTCTTTTCTCCTATATCGTATAATCTGTGTACTAGACTAGGGTTTGAACAGCAATACAGCTACTGCTGTTGGACATAAGTTAGTTGGTGTAAAACTTCTTAGCAAATAAACTAAACGGCGGTAAAAATTTTTCGTAACAAAATACGTGTGCTTGTTAGTAGAAAGAAAATTATCTTTTTGAGACAAAAAAAAATAATCAAAATAATTCCAATTAGAATATTTTAGTTTTGCAACAGTAAAATGTTAAATATACTCAAAAATTTGTGATAGGAAACAACCCCTACTGAGAGTATAGTTGATTGAGTAACTGGTTTAATCATCATCATCATTATTATCCTCATTATAATGTAAAGAGTACAACATATCATGTCTGTGTGAGTGTAGGATTTTGAGTAGTTGTATGAGTAGAAATAACGATACATCGTCCTGCAATCTACCCTCTTAAACTGTTGGTTTTGTTGTTCTTCTTGTTGTTGTTGATAATTGTGTTGCTGATGTTGTATATAGATGTTGAGGATGATACTTATAGGTTGATGCTCTACTGTTAGCATTTACCCATCATCTATGGCTACAACCACCACCAAGCAAAACCTTTATTATTGCTGTTGTTGTTGTTGTTGTTGGTTATACATTCTGCCCTTACTGATGTGAGTGTTCTGTTGTTGTTTTTTTGTTTGAAATTCAATCTCAATGTTTGTTTATTTGTTAGAAGAGATTCATCTCTTTACAGATACACGACGACAACGACAAAAACACAAACGGTCACAATTGAATATACAATCGCACCACTCACATACAACATCCTCACAACACACAACACAACATCATCATCTTCTTAATATTAAACCAACACACACAGTTCATTCTCTGTCACGACGTCATCACGTCAAATACGCGACACACTACGCATTCGTGTATATCCTATATAGATGGATATAATGTGATTGTGATATTTTACTAGTAGATTTCATAATTTGTTTTTGTTGTTATTACTACTACTACGGTTATTTCAAAAAACGAGAGACATCATCATCATCGACGTCATATTTATTATATATATTTTTTTTTCACTTTGGATACAAATTATTCTTTTTAAATGTGAAATATATATATAAAATTTCTTCCGTTTCTGTTACTGTGTTTCTGAGCGGTGGTTTTCTAATTCAGTATTTAATTGTAAAGAGTTTACGCAACCAGTTGTTACGCTTCCGTTTTGAAAATAATTGAAAAAAAAAACAAACAAAATTTTAAAATTGATAAAATTTGTGAAAAAAAAATTATATAAAAAATTTAAAATAATAATAAAAAACTAGTGTTTAAAAATTAATCTATGAAAATTATATAGAAATACTAAATATTTTAAATAAGTGTAACAAAAGTGCCAAAGTTTAAAAAAACCTAAATTAAAAGGATTTTAAAAACAAAAACAACGAAAATTTAAGGAAAATTTCTCAAAAATTTTTAAAACTGTGGAATAATATTCAAACAAAATGATATTTGATCGTTATGCCGTCTCAGGTAGGTTTTGGATTTTAAAAGTGTTTAAACTTTAACACGTCCCCCCTCCCCCCTTCTTAATAAGGGTCCCTTAGTCGTGGCTAAAAATATTAATAAAAGCCGTCGGAAAGACGGAAAACTTAAATGGCAGCATGATTGCAGATATTTTGCATAAATTGATTGGTTCAGAATTTTTTTGTTAAAAATAATGATTTTAACAAAAATGTTAAGAAAATTTTGAAACCAAAAAAAGTACTTTTTTCCAAATTTTCTTTATTAAGGTTCTTTATAACAAAAATATATAAAACAAGATGCTTGTGCCTTTAAAATAAAGTTTTAAAATAAAGTTTTAATACAAAATACTTTTAACGTAAATTCCCCTTAATAAGGGATTTATAACAAAAAAGTACTTTTTAAAAAAGTTAAATTTTTCATAAAAAATATATAAAACTAGTTGTCCCTTTAAAAAAAAGTTTTAATAGTTTTATTTTAAAAGAAATCTAACGTAAATTCCCGTCCATAAGGGATTTATAACAAAAAAGTACTTTTTTAAAAAGTTAATTTTTTTTTAAAATTTTATTAAAACCAAATTTAAACAGATTTCAATTAAAAAAAAACTCCAAAAAAGTACTTTTTTAGTTAAACTAAAACTACTAAGAAAAAAGGTACTTTTTTTGTAAATCCCCTTTATTAAGGTTGCTTATACCCAAAATATATAAAACGAGTTTTTAAGCCTTTCAAATTAAAGTTTTAATAGTTTTGTTTTAAATTAAATTCCAACAAAATACTTTAAACGTAAATTCCCCTCCATAAGGGATTTATAACAATAAAAGTACTTTTTTAAAAGTTAAGTTTTTCATCATTTTACCAAAACTATTAAAACAAATGGTTTTCAACAAATAAAAGCTTTATTATAGTATTTTAAGCTAAATATGTATTGAATATGAAAACGGCCCTGAAAGGCCCCTCAAATTTCTAAAAAATAATTTCAAATAAATTATATTAATAACAATATTTTGAGGGAAAAGTTTTTATTAAAAAAAAGTACTTTTTCGTATTAGCATTCGTTTCAGCAAGGGGACTAATAATTAATAAACAATTTTGTATTAATTTTCTTTCAAATATAATTGAAATGACTTATCAAATAAATTGACATCACTTTCTGAGCTTTTTTTTATAAAAAAATTCGGTTTATCTGAAAAAAGTACTGTTTTTGGTACTATTTTATAAAATATGTATCCTTCTACATATGAATATTTAGTAATAGACTAACACTACGTTACAGAATATTTTCAGAATAACATTTTAGTTGTCTCAACAGGGAAGGGGAAAAAGTACCAACGTTTTCATTTAAAATATTGGTTTTAACTTAAAAAATGTTCTTTCCAATTTACGGACTATTGCCACTATTAAGGGGAGTAAGATTGGGTAAATTCAATAACGTAATATCTACTAAAATAAAGAAAATACAACAACAATACTAAACGTGATTTATTACAAAGTGTAACGGTCTGGTACTTTTGGAACGTTTAAGGGTTTAAGGGTAATAGACTAACGTTATGTTAGTGAATGTTTTCAGTATTGTTGTTTTAATAGGGAGTGGGAAAAAAGTACCTAAAACGGCCTAAAAATGGTACATTAAAGTTTATTGGAACTTTTTAAAACAATTTTGATAAAATTTTAAAAAATTGTTACAATTTAGTCAAACTAAATAGTGTAGTATTTGGAATGTGGATATCAGGCCCTATATGGGACCAAATTTGTGGGAATAATTTGGTACTTTTTCTACATACTTTTTAAGCAATTCAAAACAGATTTGTTTAAGTTTAAGCTTTTCTGTTACCTAAAACTTTAAACTGTGAATATTTTGAAAATTTACATGTAGCAAAAGTATGTTGCTGAGTTGAAAAGTGGAAAAAAAGGTACTTTTTTTAAAAGAAGGTACTTTTTGCAAAACAAGAATTTTTTATAATTTTCAATTTCTAATTCTTTTTCTTTTAAATTTCAAGGTTGTTTTTAATATAGAAATAAGAATTTTAATATAATTGTTATCGAAAAAACCAAAAAAAAGTACCAAAAAAAGGGAACTTTTTGGTACTTTTTTTGTTTTTTATCAGGTACTTTTTGAATTTTGTTATAAATATTGAATATATCAACATAAAATTAATTAAAAGCAACATGAATGATTGCTAAGCTGTAAGAGAGGACTTTTGGTACTTTTTTTTTTTGTTCTTTTAAAGGGTACCTTTTGGAATTTTGTATAAAATTTAATCTAGAATTATAAATTAGTTCAGGCCATATCTTGTTAGAATGATAAACTATAAAAGAGAAAAGAAAGGTACTTTTTGGTTCAACAAATGGTACTTTTTTTGGTGCCACTCTAATAAGTACATAAGTACTTGAAAAAGTAAACAACATTTAAACAAATAGATAATAGTTAATATACTAAAATATAAAAACAAAATTTCAAGTTAAATTATCTTAAAACAATCTGACACTAAAGGAAATCACAAAATTTGGCATTATCAGGTGATGTCCATCAAGTGATTTTTTTTTTTTTTTTTTTGGGTTTTAACAACTATCTTCATATGACAACTAGATTTCAATAGCTAAGAAAATACGCAATAAGTACTTGATTGACAGTTATTGAGAGATGACAGACAAAAGACAAGACGTTTAATCGTGTTAATAGCAAATCATGCACACAGATAGTTTATTATCATTTTGAAACGTTTAACTAAAGTTTAAGGGGGAAAAAGCACAAAAAAAGTACTTTAAAACAAAACTGTCACACAACTGCAAATCTGCAGTAATGAAGAACTTAAAAAAGAAATTTTTGAAAATTAAGTTTTTAAAAGGAAATTTTCCTTATTTTTAGCTGACCACACACACATACATTTACACAACTAAATCATGTTAAATAATTTGGCGCTTAAAATTTTTGTTCCTTATTTATCTTAAAGTTTATTTATTTAGAGTGTTTTTTTACAATTTCTAACAAGAGCAAATATAGCATCTCTTACCTTTCTCGTTTTAGTGGTTCACCGCTTTTATTGTGTTTTATTTATCTTAAACAAGTGTGAATAACATTGTTTTTCAAAATTTTATGAAATTTAACAGATAAAACGAAGAAACACTTTTACAAAGAACTAATTACAACTCCCTTGTCAGGTACTTGATGTAAAGGGGAAACATACATAGACACATACATATATAAATAAATATTGATAAAGGATTTGTGTTGTTTCTTAAGAAGATATGGCGCTATATATCACACATTACATGGAGTGTAAGGTAAAAGATATGTTAATAAGATCAAAATGGTTAAACGGTTTAATTCAAAAAAGGAAAAGTTCTTTTAGACTTCTGCAGTACTAATCAAGTAAATTGAAAAACCTTGTTAAAAACAATATAATTAATAACAAAATAAAAAAGTTAAGAGAAAAATTATAATATCATTAGATTTGTAATCTTAGTAGCTATCTTTAGTTATATTTTTTGCTTTATAATACAATTCTAACATATTGCAAAGCTGTCCGTCCTTCTGTGTGAAAAACTTTTAAAAATTCATTTTCTATATGAAAAAAATTCTTATTAATTCTCTTAAAACTTAAAATTTTATATTGAATACTAAATTTAGCAGAATTTTGCTTATAGCATTAGATTTCCAAACAAAATATTTTTCATAATATATATTTTTTTTGTCCTTATTAAATTCTAGGACTTCGTAAGAACATCCTTCCTTCTGTGCAAAAGTTATAATTTTTGTCTTTAATTTTAACAGTTTCACAGCGGCTTTTTATAAAAAATATTTTTTTAAAAATATCCAAAAAATTTTAGCAAATTATTAATTTTTATATAATTGAATAAGCTGTGGGAGGAATATTTTTTAGGTTCTAAAAAAATTCCAAAACTTCACTAGAACGTCCGTCTTTCTTTTTATAAAAAGTAAATTTTTTCATATTTAGGATTTTTGCAGAGTGGCTTTTTATAAAAATAATTTTTTAAAAATATCAAAAAAAATTTAGCAAATTAATGATTTTTATCGTTATATATATAATTGAATTAGCTGTTGGGGGAATATTTTTTTAGGTTCTAATAAAATTCTAAGACTATGTTAGAACGTCCGTAATTCTGCCTAGAAAAAAAAATTGTATATTTAGGAATTTTGCAGAGCGGTTTTGTATAAACAATAATTTTTTAAAAATATCCAAAAAATTTTAGCAAATTAGTGATTTTTATCATTATATATATAATTGAATTAGCTGTTGGAGGAATATTTTTTTTAGGTCCTAAAAAAATTCTAACACTTTGTCAGAACGTCCGTCATTCTGCCTAGAAAAAAAGTAATTTTTTCATATTTAGGATTTTTGCACAGCGGATTTGTATAAAGAATAATTTTTTAAAAATATCAAAAAAAAAAATTTAGCAAATTATTGATTTTTATTGTTATATATAATTGAATTAACTGTTAGGAGAATAATTTTTTTAGGTCCTAATAAAATTTTAAGACTATGTTAGAACGTCCGTCATTCTGCCTAGAAAAAAAGTATTTTTTTATATATTTAGGATTTTGGCAGAGCGGCTTTGTATAAAAAATAATTTTTTAAAAATATCAAAAAAATTTTAATAGATTATTAATTTTTATCATTATTATATAATTGAATTAACTGTTGGGGGAATATTTTTTTTAGGTCCTCAAAAAATTCTAACACTTTGTTAGAACGTCCGTCATTCTGCCTAGAAAAAAAGTATTTTTTATATATTTAGGATTTAAGCAGCAGGCCAATGAGAAATGTTAGTTTGTAAGCGTTTTTAAGAATTTTAAAATTTCAATTTCATTGTTGTATTACCCATAGAAATATCAGTTCATTATATATAAGTTCTGTTAAATTATCCCCTACTAATAGGTTGTTTAAATGTCTGTCGTTCTGTCTGAAACTAATACAATTTATATAATAATGTTTTTTAATTTTTAGCAGCGGTCCTTTTATATATTAAACATTTTTCCTTAAAGCAAATAGCTAAAAGAAGTTTTATTTTATCGTTGTATTTGTTATCGTTTTATCCATCGTTTAAGATATTTTTGATGTCTTTATATAGTTCCCTGTTATTGTAGCTACGTCTGTCCTTCTGTGTAAAAATTTTACAATTTTTATTTTTTATTTTTTTTTTTTCATATTTGAAACCGGAGGGTTTCAAAAATTAAAATTTTTGACTTGAATCAAAACTTTATGGGAATTTTGTTGTTATCTTAGGGTTTCCTGGAAAAAATATATGTCATTTTTATATAGTTTTGGTTGCCTTGTAAAGATCTAAGGCACTGTATCAATGTCTGTCATTCTGTGTATTTATAAGCGTGATATACTTTGAAACCATTTGGAATCAAAATTCTTTAGGAATCAGAAAAATACTTTTTGATATAGTATTAGCACTTAGTACCAATTTCTATAATTAATTTTCTTCTGTTGCCTAGAACAAAATTCTTTGTAAATAATAATAACTTTATGTCTAGTTTAAAGAAACTTATTTAGTTTATTATTTAATTTTATTTTTTTCTTTTTAAATCCCTTTTTTTTAGGCAGCACAGTTGACGACTACGAATTCGGTGGTGCATTCAAACAATATCCCAATAATTTGGCCTCACCCGATTCCACAAATACTTTACGTTTGTCCACCAATACCAACGATATTAACAGTTATCATAATACACAAACACATCATCAGCATCAACATCATCAGCAGCAGCAGCGTCTTAACGGTTATAGTCAAAGTAATTCACCTACTAGTCGTTCATTGGGCGGTCTTATTGATTCTACAACATTTACGAATACATTATCGCATACACCAGCCCATATGGAACATTTATTTAGTAGTAAACTACAAGCTGAAAGGCTTTTACTAGAATTGACACGTTTTCAAGAAACTATCTGTGATTTAAAATCAAGCGAAAATGGCATTGGTTCTGGTTCTGGTCCGGGAGGCAGTGCTGGTGTTATAGCTAAACAGCATTTAAGAAGAGGCACACGTTTTGGCCCGTTTGCTATGACGGAAACAACGGAGAAATCAAATGCTTGGGATGTAAGTAGCAAAATCTACAGGACAATTTTTAGGCAATTTTAATCCTTTCACATCTGTTTATGTTTTGTTACGTTCTATCTTTTTTTTTCCCTTAAAATGTGTGCAATTTTTTGGCATTAGATCAAATTTCGCAATTATAAGACATTTTCATTAAAATTCAAACAGATTTTATTTTTTGTAACTTAATCCTGTTACAGCATTAAACCCAAAATAATATTCATGACGTTTAAATTTAGCCAGATATATTCACACACCGCACAAAATTGCAACCGAATTAGAAAGAAATCACCCAAAAATTAATTCGTTTTTGGGTGCGAAATTAAATGTTTGGAAAGTTATTTAATTAAAGAAAAAAAGATGTTCGTGCTAAAAATGTTCTCCCTTAGGGAAACTGTTAAAACTCTTCAAATTGACTGACAAATCAATTAGACAATTAAAAACAGGCAAAAAAATGTTTAGCACACACACATACACACACGCAAATGTGTTATATGCAGAATTTAACTGCCCCGTTAAAGGATAATACCCTAAATACCCCATCACTCACCCTACAAATGAACACAACCAGAGCTAATTTTCAACAAACACACGCACACACACACACACAAAAGATTTTGTCCAAAAAAAAAGAGAAGAGCGAAAAACTAAAACGGAAGCAAATAAGCGCAAATCCACAAAGTATTTCCTAAATGAGGCTTAAATTCGGTCTATAGATAATTCCAATTAGGGGCTTGTCACACTCTATGCTTAAAATAACAACAACAATAGCACCTTTATCATTTGCAATATCTCTATGACAAAAAAAATAAAGATTGACAGACAATCCAATCAATTTTTTTGGGTAAAGAAAGTAAATTGAGTTTAAGATCAGCAGCTACTCAGGTAGCATTCATGCTATATTGGCAATATTTATAAAACACACTCGAAACCGTATCTCTTGTATCTTTTTCATCCGACAACAAATAATAATTTTCACAGTTTTTAAGTGTTTGAGCTGTGAAACATCTATAAAATAAACATTTTGTAAATTCGAAACTATTGAAATGTTGTCTTGTCTTGTCTAGTGTAACAGGAATTATTATGATTTCATAAACATATTTCTACACTCTTTCATTGGCAAAGGTGCAAAAATGTCTATTCCTATGTTATGGTTTTATTTAAATCTTTTAACACAAAAACAAAGTCTCAGTTGACATTAGTAAATGTGTTAGACTTTTTTTTTTTGCTTTAGCAAGCAACAAAATAAAAACAGGAAACAAATGTATATCAATTTTAATCCTCATATTCAGATGAGATTAAAGATGATCCTGCCTTATTTAGGGATGTTTTTTTGCTTGTCCTTCTTTTTCATTATAATCATAAATTCTCATATTTTGTTTAAAAAATTAGCAAAAATAACCTAAAAAAATGTAAGAGTTAAATTAGAGCATTTTTAAGGCTTCAATATGAAAACCAAATTGAAAAATAGCTTAGAAATTTAAGATACATTCTTTAAAGTTTAAATTAGTGAGCAACAAACACAGTCCCAGATTACGAAGATTTATCAGTTTTTTTATACAGATATCAAACATTTATATTTTGCTCTTTCCCACCTCTTATCTAAATCGTTTAAAGCTGGCTTTAAACGACTAGACTATAGACTAGATTATAGACAAGACTAGGCTGTAGACTAGACTATAAACTAGACTACAGACTACTCTATAGACTAGACTATAAACTAGACTATAGACTAGACTATAGACTAGACTATAGACTAGACTATAGACTAGACTATAGACTAGACTATAGACTAGACTATAGACTAGACTATAGACTAGACTATAGACTAGACTATAGACTAGACTATAGACTAGACTATAGACTAGACTATAGACTAGACTATAGACTAGACTATAGACTAGACTATAGACTAGACTATAGACTAGACTATAGACTAGACTATAGACTAGACTATAGACTAGACTATAGACTAGACTATAGACTAGACTATAGACTAGACTATAGACTAGACTATAGACTAGACTATAGACTAGACTATAGACTAGACTATAGACTAGACTATAGACTAGACTATAGACTAGACTATAGACTAGACTATAGACTAGACTATAGACTAGACTATAGACTAGACTATAGACTAGACTATAGACTAGACTATAGACTAGACTATAGACTAGACTATAGACTAGACTATAGACTAGACTATAGACTAGACTATAGACTAGACTATAGACTAGACTATAGACTAGACTATAGACTAGACTATAGACTAGACTATAGACTAGACTATAGACTAGACTATAGACTAGACTATAGACTAGACTATAGACTAGACTATAGACTAGACTATAGACTAGACTATAGACTAGACTATAGACTAGACTATAGACTAAAGACTAGACTATAGACTAGACTATAGACTAGACTATAGACTAGACTATAGACTAGACTATAGACTAGACTATAGACTAGACTATAGACTAGACTATAGACTAGACTATAGACTAGACTATAGACTAGACTAGACTAGACTATAGACTATAGACTAGACTAGACTATAGACTAGACTAGACTATAGACTAGACTAGACTATAGACTAGACTAGACTATAGACTAGACTAGACTATAGACTAGACTATAGACTAGACTATAGACTAGACTATAGACTAGACTATAGACTAGACTATAGACTAGACTATAGACTAGACTATAGACTAGACTATAGACTAGACTATAGACTAGACTATAGACTAGACTATAGACTAGACTATAGACTAGACTATAGATTATACTAGACTGCAGACTTGACTATAACCAAGACTACAGTCTTTACTATAAACTAGATTACAAACTAGACTATAGACTAAACTAGAGACTAGACTAAAGAGACTATAGTCGAGTCTATAGTGTAGACTAGTTACTTCTATACTCTAGTTTTAAGACTGTTTTTTTATAGTCTTGTCTAAACTTTACTGTCTATAGTCTAGTCATTAGTCTAGTCTATAGTCTAGTCTATAGTCTAGTCTATAGTCTAGTCTATAGTCTAGTCTATAGTCTAGTCTATAGTCTAGTCTATAGTCTAGTCTATAGTCTAGTCTATAGTCTAGTCTATAGTCTAGTCTATAGTCTAGTCTATAGTCTAGTCTATAGTCTAGTCTATAGTCTAGTATATAGTCTAGTCTATAGTCTAGTCTATAGTCTAGTCTAGTCTATAGTCTAGTCTATAGTCTAGTCTATAGTCTAGTCTATAGTCTAGTCTGTAGTCTAGTCTATAGTCTAGTCTATAGTCTAGTCTGTAGTCTAGTCTATAGTCTAGTCTGTAGTTTAGACAATAGTTTACTATATAGTCCAGTCTACAGGCTAGTTTATAATATAGTCTACAGTGTAGTCTAGTACATACTAGTTTAGTCAATAGTCTAGTCTATAGTTTACTCTATAGTTTAGTCTACAGTTTAGTCTGTAGGTTAGTGTATAGTTTAGTCTATAGTTTAGACTATAGTTTAGTCTTTAGTTATAGTTGAAAGAATATAAGTTTTGAGTCAAAGTGTTAGCAAAAATTTATGATTGGATCGAGGTTTTCTATTTGTATGTAAAACAGGCGTATGGTTAACTCTCTAATCTTGATTCTTGTATATACATTAAAGTTTAAACTTTTTCTCCACAAAACGTTAGTTAAACTAAGTGTATACATGTGTCACATAAGATGCTTCACATCCACAAAAAGCATTTGGAATATTTGTATTTTAAACTCACACATTATACTTGAAGTTCTTTTGTAAGGCAGTTGTTGAAAAATTAAAAAAAAAAAAAAAACTTTTTTTTTTCAAAAAATTTATTTTAAATGAACAACTTATTTTAATAATTTCTTTAAACAATATAATTTTTGGAGCGTGTTGCATGTTGCATATTCACTTATGTATGTTGTTCATACGTACACATAAGCCACTTAATAAAAAAAAAACATTTATACATACAACAACAACAGCTGGATATTTAAAAAAAAGGACTCTTACATTCTGAAAGAGAGAAATAAAAATATCATTTAAATAACCGACGTTTTTCCAAATGACTTGCTAGACAAGAGCATCTAAATAAATTCAAACAGAGGAAAACATTTTTTATATCGAAAAAAAGTGAAGAGGGTACCATGTGCAGAAATATTGTATGTGTATATATAAAAAAGCACAACTTTAACTGGCCATTGAAGTCTACAAATACCATTTTTAGTACATACATATACATACATATGTATGTATGTATGTAGGCATATTTGTATATAGAAAGGGAGTAAGGATTTAAGTATGTATAATGAAAAGTGAAGAGTTTATTTTTTTATTCATGTATTTTCGAATAGGACTGAAGAGTTGTTTTTGTTTAAAAAAAAATCAAAAAATATAAACGTTTTTTATAATTTTTTACACAAACTTACTACTACTACTACTACCCTTTACACTCCAGTTAATGTAAAATAAGGCGAGACGTCTTTATCATCAACAAATATTTAAAAAAAAACTATATGGTAAAAGTGATGCTTTACCAACTGCTGGCTGAGTGAATTGTTTGTGCAAAAAAAAAAAAAGGATTTTGAAAGTGATTATGAATTATAGAAAACAAACCCAGCAGTAGCTGAATAATGACAGTCTAACAAACATAAATTTTGCTTAAAAAAAATTTCACCAAAAATTTCCTTAAAAAATAAGGATTTCTTAGTAATATGTAAAGGTTTTTGAAATAACTGTTAATAAATTTTGTAAAATTAATTATTTTAGGTTATGCTTGGTTGAGTTTTTCTTTTATCTATTTCTTTATTACTACAAATATATACTCTAGGGGAAAGTATGCAGTGTCTTGTCTATTTCTTTTGTAGACTATGTGACGTCTTTCTTGCTTTTTGCTCGCATGAACACACAAGTGTTTTATACTTACTTTTAGCTTCTTAAGTAAGTATGCCGGTTAGTAGTTAGGTAGTGGCTACTGTTTAGTATTTTCTTTCTTTTTTTTGTGGTTTTCCTTTTTTAATTAGTCATGTCATTGTCTTGTCGTAGGGTTGACCGAACTTATGACAATTGTCTGTCACGCTCAATTCATTTATTATTAAAAGACCTAGTATTTAAGAATCTTAGTACAATGTTAGTCCTTAGAGTCTCACAAAGTATTTTAAGTTGATTAAGGGGAAAATACTAAAACCCAGATTGAATGAAATATGTCGGTCGTTCTATAGACAATTTTGCTGAAGGCCTTTGATTAATAATAGTCCAGTCTAGTCTATAGTCCAGTCTATAGTCGAGTCTATAATCTAGTCTATAATCTAGTCTATAGTCTAATCTATCGTCTAGTCTATAGTCTAGTCTATAGTATAGTCTATAGTCTAGTCTATAATCTAGTCTATAGTCTAGTCTATAGTATAGTCTATAGTATAGTCTAAAGTCTAGTCTATAGTCTAGTCTAAAGTCTAGTCTACAGTGTAGTCTATAGTCTAGTCTATAGTCTAGTCTATAGTCTAGTCTATAGTCTAGTCTATAGTCTAGTCTATAGTCTAGTCTATAGTCTAGTCTATAGTCTAGTCTATAGTCTAGTCTATGTCTAGTCTGTGTCTAGTCTATAGTCTAGTCTATAGTCTAGTCTATAGTCTAGTATATAGTCTAGTATATAGTCTACTCTAGTCTATAGTCTAGCCTATAGTCTAGCCTATAGTCTATTCTATAGTCTAGTCTATAGTCTAGTCTATAGTCTAGTCTATAGTCTAGTCTATAGTCTAGTCTATAGTCTAGTCTATAGTCTAGTCTATAGTCTAGTCTATAGTCTAGTCTATAGTCTAGTCTATAGTCTAGTCTATAGTCTAGTCTATAGTCTAGTCTATAGTCTAGTCTATAGTCTAGTCTATAGTCTAGTCTATAGTCTAGTCTATAGTCTAGTCTATAGTCTAGTCTATAGTCTAGTCTATAGTCTAGTCTATAGTCTAGTCTATAGTCTAGTCTATAGTCTAGTCTATAGTCTAGTCTATAGTCTAGTCTATAGTCTAGTCTATAGTCTAGTCTATAGTCTAGTCTAGTCTATAGTCTAGTCTATAGTCTAGTCTATAGTCTAGTCTATAGTCTAGTCTATAGTCTAGTCTATAGTCTAGTCTATAGTCTAGTCTATAGTCTAGTCTATAGTCTAGTCTATAGTCTAGTCTATAGTCTAGTCTATAGTCTAGTCTATAGTCTAGTCTATAGTCTAGTCTATAGTCTAGTCTATAGTCTAGTCTATAGTCTAGTCTATAGTCTAGTCTATAGTCTAGTCTATAGTCTAGTCTATAGTCTAGTCTATAGTCTAGTCTATAGTCTAGTCTATAGTCTAGTCTATAGTCTAGTCTATAGTCTAGTCTATAGTCTAGTCTAGTCTAGTCTATAGTCTAGTCTATAGTCTAGTCTATAGTCTAGTCTATAGTCTAGTCTATAGTCTAGTCTATAGTCTAGTCTATAGTCTAGTCTATAGTCTAGTCTATAGTCTAGTCTATAGTCTAGTCTATAGTCTAGTCTATAGTCTAGTCTATAGTCTAGTCTATAGTCTAGTCTATAGTCTAGTCTATAGTCTAGTCTATAGTCTAGTCTATAGTCCAGTCTATAGTCTAGTCTAGTCTATAGTCTAGTCTATAGTCTAGTCTATAGTCTAGTCTATAGTCTAGTCTATAGTCCAGTCTATAGTCTAGTCTAGTCTATAGTCTAGTCTATAGTCTAGTCTATAGTCTAGTCTATAGTCTAGTCTATAGTCTAGTCTAAAGTCTAGTCTATAGTCTAGTCTATAGTCTAGTCTAAAGTCTAGTCTAAAGTCTAGTATATAGTCTAATATATAGTCTAGTCTATAGTCTAGTATATAGTCTAATATATAGTCTAGTATTAGTCTAGTATATAGTCTAGTCTATAATCTAGTCTATAGTCTAGTAAATATTCTAGTCTATAGTCTAGTCTATAGTCTAGTCTATAGTCTAGTCTATAGTCTAGTCTATAGTCTAGTCTATAGTCTAGTCTATAGTCTAGTCTATAGTCTAGTCTATAGTCTAGTCTATAGTCTAGTCTATAGTCTAGTCTATAGTCTAGTCTATAGTCTAGTCTATAGTCTAGTCTATAGTCTAGTCTAGAGTCTAGTCTATAGTCTAGTCTATAGTCTAGTCTATAGTCTAATCTATAGTCTAGTCTATAGTCTAATCTATAGTCTAGTCTATAGTCTAATCTATAGTCTAATCTATAGTCTAATCTATAGTCTAGTCTATAGTCTAGTCTATAATCTAGTCTATAGTCTAATCTATAGTCTAGTCTATAGTCTAATCTATAGTCTAGTCTATAGTCTAATCTATAGTCTAGTCTATAGTCTAATCTATAGTCTAGTCTATAATCTAATCTATAGTCTAGTCTATAGTCTAATCCATAGTCTAATCTGTAGTCTAGTCTATAGTCTAGTCTATAGGCCTACATGGCACACATAAAGACAGACAGACAGACAGATAGACGGACGGACGGACGGACATAGCGTAATGCACTCAGAAAGTGAATCTGGACCGAATGGTATACTTTTGGTGTTACAAACTACCCTCCTCACTATATCGGTGTATAAAAAAACACGTAAAAACTAGTTTACATTAAACAACTACCAAAATTTAACATTTTACTGTTAACAACACAATGTTAAAGTAAAGACACAAACCTCAAAGACAAAACCACAACTAGTTAACATAAAGTTAAACTTTACATTAGCTACGGAACGTTAGATGGCAGCAAAAAATATAAAAAAATTAACAAAATTCTATAAAATAAACTTTTTATTTAAAATTGTTTTTATATTAATTTTAAAACTTTTTTCTAATAAATTTCTTTTCGATTTATTTCTTTTTTACTTTTAGATCTTACCCATCTCCCATATACGCAGCCTATTAGAACCCTCACCCGAAGTTAAGCTGTTATTAAAGAAAATCCGTACCTCCTCCAATTTGGAAGGTGAAAAAGAGGCTAATTTTAATCATTTTTATGTAGCGGGTTGTGTAAGTAGTTGTTGTTTTTTGAAATAATTAAAATTTTTTTAAATTAATTTCTTCTTTGTTAATAAACACACAGCTTTGGTATGAATCAAATCGTGATATAGAGGCTGGTGAAGAGATAATAATCGATGGTCGACCCAAAGCCCTTTATGATCAACAGGATTTATTGACCAATGGTGAAATGCATAATGGTTCCTCAATACATAGCAGTGATGATAGAAGTGAACGTGATAATGGTAAGTGAAAGAAATTATACATCAATTTAGGGAATAAAAATCTTATAACATTTTTTAAAAATTTTGTTAAAATTTCACACTCTTAGTTTCTAGAAGATTTTTGTTAGAAAATTATTGTTAAATACTAATTATTTGTTATTTTAAAGTTAATTTTTTTTTTTTAAATTTCACTTTTAAGTATTTTCCCACCCTTTTTTTGTGTGGCAAAAATACTAGAAACGCATTAATTTATTGTTGTGCCATATGTCTTCTAGTCAAGGTTGTTATATATTCTTCTAACTTTGCACTCATATGTATATCGTTTTGATGAAGTGTATAAGTAGCAGGCACCTGAGCATGACTTCTTTTCCAAAATAAGTTTATGCCAACAAAGAAAATACGTTACAAACATATTTGTCTACTGAAAAGGTGTTTCGTTGGGTTGAGAAAATGTTTTTAAACTAAAACACCCTCTTCTGGATTTTAAATTGAAGACTTTGGGAAATTTTTTATAAAAAACGGTTACTTTAGCAAAGCATTTTTATTTTTTTGGATCACATTCAAAAAAGTTGAAGCACTTCGATCTACATATAAATCTCTTATTAAATCAATTACTTGGGCTTGAAGTAAAGTAATTGTAATCGTTACCCCTCAAGTCTGGTTTATATACAAATAGTCTAACTGTATTTAGCATTGTCCATCTGTCTTTCCATTATCCGTTTTCTGAAGGCCCTTGATTAACAAAGACTTTTTAACCCAGAAATCAAAGTTTACTATTCTAAAGGATTGAACTGTACTGGCCTCATCACATCAGGTTTTTCCGGTTGAAACACTCCCCCTTAAAAACCAACCTTTATTTATGAAATCTCTAATAACTTCTAAAAGTCTGATCTGATGACATGACAATAAAAGTTTATTATACCATAGAACTATATAACCATTTCGAATCGGTTGAAATATTATTTTTTCACATATACATATGTATGTACGTACATTGTACATATAAAACTGAATCCTTATTGAACGCTTTTGCGATATTCCTCTGTCTGTCCGTATTTCTATATGTTGAAAACAATTTTCTGAAGACCCCATTTATCTTTGGCATCTAAATTTTTAGTAATTGTATCAAATTTACTTTCGTTATATACATATTCTGAATTCTTATAAATCATTTAAGTTATATCCATCTGTCTGTATGTTTCCCCCTGGGGGCATGTTACCTTGGTGCAATATCCCGGGGAAAATAGGTGCTACCAATACCTCTCTAGTCTGCCGGGACTATAAACTGGTGATGATCAAATGTATCCTCGGCCTTTCCTTAGAATGATCATCTCATCTTCTTAGGACTTTAGACCAGTGATTGCTTTTTCCTTGTGGGGATTTGCATTGGGATTGCTTCCATGTTGTCTGTCATTCCGCAACGGTTCTACTATGGCAAGAGATTAGATAACTCGAGTTCTCCAGCAAAGTGCTTGTACATGGACCGTTACAGCCATGTACAAAAATTGCCACTTGAGACCGTTCTCAAGATAAGAGATAAGGCCGTCATGGCAGGTGTTAACGTTAAGCCCTTACACATCTTGTCTATCCCTCCGGTTGTCTGTCTGTCCGTATGTTTGTTAAAAACAATTTTCTGAAGACCCCAGATATTTTTGTTATTTAAATTTTCAGTAATTCTATCAAAATTACTTTCGATGTATAGATATTCTGTTCTGAATCTTTATAAAACGTTTTAGTTAAGTCCGTCTGTCTGTAGGTATATATGTATGTATGTATGTCCGTCCGTCTGTCTGTCTGTCTGTCTGTCTGTCTGCCTGTCCGTCCGTATGTTTGTTTGTTAAAAATTTTCTGAAGACCCCAAGTTAACTATTGAAAATCTAAAATAACGGAAAAATTTCCAAAAAATTCTAAATCCTGTAAGATAGGAAAATTCTAACCCTTTCAGCTCTTAGCTTGGGCAAATGCAAATTTGTTTTAAAACTCAACTACTTAAACACGTATTCACGTTAAGTATGTCAAACACTTATATTTTGATTAAATCCCCGACTTTTTCAATATAACAAAATATTAAAAAAAGTTTTTATAAAAACATTTTAAGCTGCAGGATTTTAAACATTGCCACGAGTCTTTATTTTAAAAGTATTTATAATTTTAATCCTTAATTGTGTTAAAATGAATCAACATGAAAACAACATTAACAGCTACTACTAGTTTAAAGTCTTGATCTGCAGTTAAGATCAGCAAGCAGGAAATTTTTAGCTCAAATCCTACAAACATTGTAAATTACAAGGCTCTTGCCTCATACACATAGCTACAACAACAGTAGCTAGCAAAACATTTTTATACGGGAGGATTAGGATTGAAACATGATGTTGTTGTTTTTTCCATATTTGATAATAATAATAAAGTTTTCAAGTCATATAATGTGTGTTATTGTGTTGGAGGTGCTGCTGCTGCTGAGATGATATTGAGTTATTCTCCCTTTTTGAGGGTATTATATTTAAAAGGTATTAACCAAACATTTTTAATAACAAATGAAAACATGTGTGTTTGTTGGTTGTCCAGACGGTTGCATTATAGTTTGCTGTGTGGTTGTGCAACTAACACATTTTTCGAGACAATTAATGAAAAAGTATCTTTTTTTTATACCCACACATTTACTCTCTTATATATGTGTTTGCAGTCATATCCTAATTCACACTTTTGTTGTAAGCTACATATGTACCACCGTGTGTCCTAGAGCTGCAGCATGTGCCTTTTTAATTGTTTTTCGTTAGTGATTTGTTGACAAAAGGGGTGCTGAGCCCTTATAATCTGTTTGACAAACATTGACATCAATTTAATGTCATATTTTCATGGGATTGCATGGATAGACAGACATACACAAATAACAATAACAAATAAGCATTTTGAATATATGATATGATATCGCGTAAAAGTATCATTGATCATTTGAAGTTGGTGGAGGGTTTTTACTATTATTATTATTAAGACAGAATCGTTTGCATGTGCCTGTCTGTCTGTCTGTCTGTCTGTATGATTAGGTAATTTCCAGCCAAAAAGCCCTTATAAAACTAAACTCACTGCAGCGATTCATTATTAAATTATAGCTTATTGTCTATCATTAGCTGTGTATGTGTGTGTATATTTGGGTGACAATTTTAAACGCGTGCCTTATACAAAGTCACGCATTTATCTCTATTAACACATCTTGTTGTCTTTAAAAGCCTGCAGCAGCAGCAGTAAAACACCAACATTAAAACAACCTCTAAAAAAAGGAACAAATCTAAAATTTTTGTTTGTTTCCCAGTTGTCGCTACTAATTGTTTTATGCCAAACTACTACTACTGGTACTGACTTTTATGTTTTGTTGTTGTTATTGTTGTGGTTTACTATACTCTAGTTTTTCCTTAAAAGTTAAACTTTACACTCGAACTCGAGTTTATACCATATAGTCACAGTAGAAACACTAAAAAAGAGTCCAGCTGTGTTGATTCCCACATTTATGACTGTGTGGCGTCAAGATCAAACATTAAAATGCTGAAGTTGAGGTACGTGTCTTACAATCTTATAATCTTGTTTGCGTAATGTGTTTTTTGGTTTATTTTTATTACATTTGAACAGCAACATACAATATATCGCTCAAATATAGGAAATTGATCTTTATCTAGTAACAATTGTTTTTTGGCGTAATGAAAACTTTAATTCAAACTCTTGAAGAGGTAGTGGTAAAAATATGTGGAACTAAGGAAATTTTTCATAGTTTTTGAAAATTTCTCAAAAATAAAAAATTTATCAAAATTTTGACGTTTCTAGTTGCCTTTGGTTTAAAGCTAAACTTCTTTTTAAGCTTTATTGTGAAAGCTAAACTTGAGGTCTATTACTCCGCCAAATTTTATACCCATCGGATTAGTATTTCAAAAGTTATAAACATTTTAGGAAAATTACCCTTAAGGGGACTCAAGAGAATTATTCGATAATGCAGATCCATAAAGTTTGAAAAAATTGGAAACACAAAAAACAAAATTTATTTTTCTAAAGGATTGATTAGAATCCGTTAACAGACTTGCTCTATTACATCAGATTTTTAAGATACAGAGTCTCAAAATTAAGGTTTAAATATAACTTAATTTGGTTCCCTCTAGCGTCCTTTGGGTTAGTGCTTAACATCTCTTTAAGCTTTATTGTGAAAGCTAAACTAAAGGTCTATTGATCTACCAAATTTTATATCCATCGGATTAGTATTTCAGAAGTTATAAACATTTATGTGACAATGACCCCTAAGGGGACTCAAAAGACTTATTAGATAATACAGTTCAATCAAATTTGAAGAAAATTGAAAACCCAGAGACCTAAGTATACTTATCTAAAGAAATGATTTGAATCTCTTAACAGAGTTCCTCTATTATATCAGATATTTGAGATATAGAGTCCTAGGATTGAAAGTCCAATCTAACGAATTTAAACTGAGGTTTTAGAAATATCTTAATTTGGTCCTCTCTAGCGTCCCTTGGGTTAGGGCTTAATATCTCTTTAAGCTTTCATATGAAAGCTAAACTTAAGGTCTATAGCTCTAAGAAATTTTATACCCTTCGCATTAGTATTTCAGAAGTTATAAATATTTTTGTGACAATGACCCCTAAGGGGACTCAAAAGTCTCATTAGATGAAGCAGATCAATAAAGTTTGAAAAAATTGAAAACCCAGAAACCAAAGTATACTTTTCTAAAGAAATGATTTGAATCTGTTAACACAGTTCCTCTAAGACATCAGGTTTTTGAGATATTGTGTGCTAAAGCTTAGAAAAATACGGTTTTGGTCATATTTGAGACTTTATAACTGCTCGAAGATATCTTTATTGATAAAATTTTAAAGTCCACAAAGTCGAATTTAAAACAAAGGTCTTTCCTTTTTAAAAACTTTTTCCTATTTCGAGAATGTGGCTTAACAAAGGGGTCTTTTTTTAAACTTAAGGACACGATAACTCTAAAACCTCAAGTAATGGAAAAATTCGTACTCGGA